AAAGAACCATATATATAGTGAACAAAATGACATAAGACAATGGTAAAAAATAAGAGTATGAGATTGATAACCTTTACAACTGAAGAATCAACGGAGAAATCGAAGAATGGATGGAGGAACAATGGAGGGAGGGAGGAAGCAAGAACACTAGTGCAGTGAGCTTCAAAATGTGCTGAGCTCGGGCTCGGAGAGGAAGAAGGAGACGGCCGATATATAAAGGGAGGACATTTAGTCCCGGTTGGTGGCTCCAACCGATACTAAAGGTAACTTTCCAACCCCGGGCGTAGCCACGGCCCGGGAGTAGACCTTTACTCCCGGTTGGAGCCACTAACCGGGAGTAAAAGTATACCTTTAGTCCCGGTTGGTGGATCCAACCGGGACTAAAGGTCCCTGCCACCTCTGTCTGGCGCAGTAGCCGTTGGGCAGGGACCTTTAGTCCCGGTTGAAACCACCAACCGGGACTAAAGGTATTTCTAGTCCCGGGGGCAAAAAATTTCGGGACTAGAGTCCATTTTGACCGAGGATCAAAGGTTTGTTCTCTACTAGTGAAATGGAAGCTTTTGTGATGTGGTGACAGGCAATATAATCTTTTGACCACCACACTCACACGACTGATCAGTGACCACCGCACTCCAACGTGACGACGACCGAAATGCGGACCGGGCCATGTAGCCCGCCGTGCCGAGATCCTGGACACGGCACATCCCTTGTGTTCATGTCGTGCCGGCATGGCCCAAAATATTTTGTGCGTGCCGTGTTTCGGATCGTGCCAAGTTTCGGGTCGTGCCAAAAGACTGTGCCATAACCCGCCCTCAAATGGCACGGCCCAAGTCCCAGCTCTACCTCACCCCCTTCTTCCCCAACTCCGGCGACCGACACCCGTCCCATCCCTTCTTCCCCAACTCCGGTGGGCTTACAAGAGAGGGGTTTGGGGGGAGGTAGGCAGGCCTGGTGGTGGGGACAGTGGCCGGCGGTTCGGGGCCCTGGCGGCTGTGGAGGCGGCCGGGCCAGGTCGGGGCGAGGGAGTTGCGGCTGTTCGCCGGAGTTGGAGAAGAAAGTAGGGGCGGGAGAGGGGGGGAGGTGGAGGCCGCAGCCGCGGAGCTCCATCAGACCCTACTACACCACGACGGGGCGGCGGAGGAGGAAGAAAAACAGTGCCAAAAAAATTGGTTGCTGGGGTGCTGGCAAACGCGCGAGTACCGCATAGATAGGTCCTTGTCGAGTCGGGTGACCAGAGATCATGATCTGGTCTAGCGTGAGGAGTGCCGGTTTGATGAACTTTACGTCAAAATTAACATAACCTTCCACTGTTCCACTTGCTCCGACACCTTTTCTATGCACCAAATGGAAGCTTTTGTGATGAGGTGACAGGCAATATAATCTTTCAGTTTTGCTATCTATCAACCGGTTAATTTAGGAGCTTGTATCTACTGATTTTTGGACCGTTCGTTGCCGTCGGCCGATGGCCCAGGCCATCCGATGCGTCCGCCATTGTTAGGTGTATGCATCCATCATCCGTGCGCGCGTAGTAAGTGGAAAAAGTGGAGCAGCGGCTGCCATGCCTGCTGGCTGGGCGCGTGCACGCAGGAGATCCGATCCAGGACACGTCGCATGCGGTTCGTCATGCACGCTTCTCGCTATAGAAAAATTTGTAAATTTGTAAGTTTGTGAAAAATTTGATGATATTTGTGAACAATTTGATATATATTTGTCCGATATCTGGAATCCATAGAAAAAATATTGTAATTTTTTTTTGAAAAATTTGGTATATATTTGTGTTATTCTCAAATTATATCACTCTATTCAATAAATTACACTGAGTAAATCATTGTAAATATAGGAATAAGACAATATAAATATAGTTAGAAGACAATATAAGTGCATGGGAAAAAATCAGTTAACAGGAGAGACCAAAACAACTGAATATCCTAATCTTTTGACCAGCGCGCTCCAACAAGACAATGACCTGGCACGGTCCATCCTGCATCTACTATAAACAGTCTAACACGCTACAACTGATCCAGCCATTGTAGCTATATACCATGCGTTCCAATAGCTAGAACCGTCGATCCGATCGCTGCCACATAGACAGGTCATCGTGTGACCAGAGATCATGATCTGGTCGAGCATGAGGAGTGCCGGTTTGATGAAGTTTACGTCAAAATTAACATAACCTTCCACTGTTCCACATGCTCCATCACCTTTTCTACGCACCAAATGGAAGCTTTTATGATGAGGTGACAGGCAATATAATCTTTTGACCACCACACTCACACGATTGATCAGTGACCACCGCATTCCAACGTGACGACGACCGAAATGCGGACCAGGCCATGTAGCCCGCCGTGCCGAGATCCTGGACACGGCACAACCCTTGTGTTCATGTCGTGCCGGCATGGCCCAAAATATTTTGTGCGTGCCGTGTTTCGGATCGTGCCGTGTTTCGGGTCGTGCCAAAAGACTGTGCCATAACCCGCCCTCAAATGGCATGGCCCAAGTCCCAGCTCTACCCCACCCCATTCTTCCCTAACTCCAGCAACCGACATCCGTCCCATCCCTTCTTCCCCAACTCCGGTGGGCTTAGAAGAGAGGGGTTTGGGGGAAGGTAGGCAGGCCAGGTGGTGGGGATAGCGGCCAAAGGTTCGGGGCCCTGGCGGCTGTGGATGCAGCCGTGCCAGGTCAGGGCGAGGGAGTTGCGGCTGTTGGCCGGAGTTGGAGAAGAAAGTAGGGGCGGGAGAGGGGGGGAGGTGGAGGCCGCAGCCGCGGAGCTCCGTCAGACCCTACCGCACCACGGCAGGGCGGCGGAGGAGGAAGAAAAACAGTGCCAAAAAAATTGGTTGCTGGGGTGCTGGCAAACGCGCGAGTGCCGCATAGATAGGACCTTGTCGAGTTGGGTGACCAGAGATCATGATCTGGTCTAGCATGAGGAGTGCCGGTTTGCTGAACTTTACGAATTAACATAACCTTCCACTGTTCCACTTGCTCCGACACCTTTTCTACGCACCAAATGGAAGCTTTTGTGATGAGGTGACATGCAATATAATCTTTCAGTATTGCTATCTATCAACCGGTTAATTTAGGAGCTTGTATCAACTGATTTTTGGACCGTTCGTTGCCGTCGGCCGATGGCCCAGGCCGTCCGATGCGTCCGCCATTGTTAGGTGTATGCATCCATCATCCGTGCGCACGTAGTACGTGGCAAAAGTGGAGCAGCGGCCGCCATGCCTGCTGGCTGGGTGCGTGCACGCAGGAGATCTGATCCAGGACACGTCGCATGCAGTTTGTCATGCACGCTTCTCGGTATAGAAAAATTTGTAAATTTGTAAGTTTGTGAAAATTTTGATGATATTTGTGAACAATTTGATATATTTGTCCGATATCTGGAATCTATAGAAAAAAATTGTAATTTTTTTTGAAAAATTTGGTATATATTTGTGTTATTCCCAAATTGTATCACTCTGTTCAATAAATTACACTGAATAAATCATTATAAATATAGCAATAAGACATTATAAATATAGTTAGAAGACAATGTAAATGCATGTGAAAAATTCAGTTAACAAGAGAGGCCAAAACAACTGAATGTCAACCTTATCTTTTGACCACCGCACTCCAACATGACAATAACCTGGCACGGTCCATCCTGCATCTACTATAAACAGTCTAACACGCTACAACTGATCCAGCCATTGTAGAGCTAGAACCGTCGATCCGATCGCTGCCACATAGACAGGTCGTCGTGTGACCAGATATCATGATCTGGTCGAGCATGAGTGCTGGTTTGCTAAACTTTACGTCAAAATTAACATAACCTTCCACTGTCCCACATGCTCCACCTTTTCTACGCACCAAATGGAAGCTTTTGTGATGAGGTGACAGGCAATATAATCTTTTGACCACCACACTCACACGACTGATCAGTGACCACCGCACTCCAACGTGACAACGACCGAAATGCGGACCGGGCCATGTAGCCCGCCGTGCTGAGATCCTGGACACGGCACAGCCCTTGTGTTCATGTCGTGCCGGCATGGCTCAAAATATTTTGTGCGTGCCGTGTTTCGGATTGTGCCGTGTTTCGAGTCGTGCCAAAAGACTGTGCCATAACCCGCCCTCAAATGGCATGTCCCAAGTCCCAACTCTACCCGAGCCACCCCCTTCTTCCCCAACTTCGGCGACCGACACCTGTCCTATCCCTTCTTCCCCAACTCCAGTGGGCTTACAAGAGAGGGGTTTGGGAGGAGGTAGGCAGGCCAGGTGGTGGGGACAGGAGGCCGCAGCCGCGGAGCTCCGTGAGACTATACCAGCTTGCTTCCCGGCTCGTGCTGCTCTGCTGCTTCTCGTTCCTCGCGTACTTTGCATCCTGCCAGATGGGCCCACTCTTTTCTAGTTGGCTTAAGTGGCATGTGAACATTATCAATCTCGATATCTCGAGTGCAGGTATAGCTGATAGGCTTCCACAGAGGTTCTCCGATGCCTTTTTAAATGTCGAATTCATGAACATCTCATACAATCAACTCAACGGAACATTGTCGACTGATATGGGCTCCATGTCACTTCGAGTACTCTATCTCAACTCAAACCAATTAACTGGTCAGCTACCCACACTACCACCAGACATATGTAATTTAGACTTGTCCAACAACTTCTTATCAGGACTTATCCAGCAGTTCAAAATCGGTTCTTCCCGTGTGGTGTTGCTTAGGCGGATGGATTGCACTGGTTGTTTAAAAAAAATGATGGATTGCACTAGAGGCATACATACGCGCAGACTGGGCACAGGGCGTCAAGCCTTCTTCACCTAATCTGTGTAGGAGGAGTGCGCGTGGGCCAGTACGCAGATGCCTGACCTCTTCTACACGGAAGGTGACCGAGCGTCGACCTCACCTCAGTCCACGGTGAATTGACCCATCTGCAGTATCCTCTGCATCCACCTACTATAATAATAACACTCGGGCTCCAGAACTGATCTATCCTGCCATTCCCTTCTAGTATTGTCGATGGTTGCCACCGTGCATCGCCTAGCTGCTGCCATGCTCGTGTCGTTGCTCTGCTGCTTCTTGTTCATCGCCACGCTGAAAGCACAGCAGCAGCCTCAGCCAGCCGCTAGTGATAACACAGCTAGTCCTCCGAGCTGCATACCCCACGAGAGGGACGCCCTGCTGGCATTCAAGCACGCCGTCACCAGCGACCCTGCAGGCCTCCTCACCTCGTGGCGGCGAGATGGTGGCCACGGCGAGCAGGACTGTTGCCGATGGAGAGGCGTCCGGTGCAGCAACCGGACTGGTCACGTCCATGAGCTTCGACTTCGAAACACCGGAGAAGAAGAAGCAGCTATGGAGGGCAAGATAAGTCCTTCTTTGCTTGCTCTGGATCATCTAGAGCACCTTGACCTCAGCTGGAATGATCTAACAGGGCCAAGTGGTCGTCTTCCCGAGTTCTTGGGCTCTCTAAAGAATCTCAAGTATCTTGACCTCTCTGGCATACCGTTCTATGGTGGCCTGCCTCGCCAGTTTGGCAACTTGTCAAGGCTGCAGTATCTAGATCTTTCCAATTCCATCTTTAGGGAAAGCACAAACTCGACGGATCTATCATGGTTAACACGTCTTCCTTCCATCCAATATCTTAATCTGAACCAAGTGAACCTCGGCACAGTAGTGGATTGGCCTCATATCATAAACATGCTTCCTTCTTTGAGGGTCCTTCGTCTTTCCTACTGCTCTCTTGCAAGCGCAAACCAGTCGCTGCCACACCTGAACCTTACAAACCTCGAGGAGCTAGATGCTTCCTGGAACTCCTTTGACCATCCAATGGTGACCAGCTGGTTCTGGAACATAACAAGTCTCAGATACCTTTACCTCCACGACACTAGTATGTACGGTCAATTTCCGGATGCTCTGGGCGACATGACATCCCTTCAAGTCCTTGATCTTTCATATAATTATAATAATGATGAGAAGTATCGCATCATGACCACGGATTTGAAGAATCTATGCAATTTGGAGGTCCTGAACCTTGATTGGGCTCTCTTATATGGCGACATAGCTGAGCTGTTTAGGAATAAACTACCTCGCTGTTCACCCAACAAATTGCAAGAATTGGACCTCAATTGGAACCAATTAACTGGGATGCTACCAAGATGGATAGGGCAATTAACGAGCTTGGTCATTCTGAATCTTGGTCGGAACAACATCACAGGATCCCTCCCAATATCTGTAGGGCAACTTACCGGTTTGTAGACACTTGACCTCTCTTTCAACAACCTAAATGGACATGTTCCATATGAGATTGGTATGCTCATTAATCTGACCCATCTGGACCTAAATAGTAATAAATTGGATGGCGTGATAACGGAGGAACACCTTGTTAGTGCAAGGAGCCTGAAATACATAGACTTGTCATATAATGCCCTGAAGATTGAGATTAGCTCGGATTGGCAACCACCATCTAAATTAGATCTTGTAAAATTTGCATCCTGCCAGATGGGCCCACTGTTTCCTGGGTGGCTTCAGTGGAATGTGAACATCACCTATCTTGATATCTCCAGTGCAGGTATAGCTGATAAGCTTCCACAATGGTTCTTCGATGCCTTTTCAAATGTTCGGTTCATGAACATCTCCAACAATCAACTCAACGGAACTTTGCCAACCGATATGGGCTCCACGTCACTTGAAGAGCTCTATCTCAGCTCAAACCAATTAACTGGTCATATACCCATACTGCCATCAAACATAAGTTTCTTGAACTTGTCCAACAACTTCTTGTCGGGACCTCTGCCCTCCGCTGTTGGATCCACCAATCTAAACCAGCTATCTCTGTTCTCCAACCGACTCACTGGTCATATTTCTGAATCTTTTTGTAAATATCAGCAATTATTTGTGTTGGACTTATCCAACAATTTTTTGGAGGGAGAACCACCATTGTGCCTCAAGGTAATGGATATGGGATTTGTAGCCTTAAGGAACAATAGTTTGTCAGGAAAGTTCCCGTCTTTTCTGCAAAACTTGATAACTGTGTTCTTCCTAGATTTGTCTTGGAACAAATTCTCTGGAAGATTGCCAATGTGGATTGGAAGCTTAACATCATTAAGAGTTATACGATTAAGTCACAACAAGTTCTTTGGTAGCATTCCAATGAATATCACAAACCTTTCTTGCCTTCAGTACATGGATCTAAATAACAATAAGATATCAGGCTCTCTACCGATCTACCTATCAAATCTTCAATTTATGACAAACACATCCATGATGGATTGTTATTCCCCGGCTCTTTATCATGGAATTCTCATTTTAGTAGTGTGTCTACAGTCTTCAAGGGGCAGGAATTGAACTACGGTTCCTTCTATAGGGTTTTGCAGACAAGGATGACGAGCATTGATTTATCTTCTAACAATTTAATCGGTGAAATTCCAGAAGAAATAGTTTTCCTTGACGATCTAGTGAATTTAAATCTGTCAAGGAACCACTTGAGCGGAGTTGTTCCAAACAAGATTGGGGAAATGCAGTCACTTGAATCACTAGACCTCTCGAGGAACATGCTTTCTGGGGAAATACCGGCTAGTCTTTCAAATCTAACGTTCTTAAGCTACTTGGACTTGTCATACAACAATCTTACGGGAAGAATTCCATCAGGATCGCAGCTTGATACCCTGTAGGCAGAGTATCCATCTATGTACATTGGCAACACCGGTCTCTGTGGGCATCCCCTTCAAAACAATTGCTCAAGTGAGGGTCATGCGCCAAAGCAAGGTGGCCTGGGAAGAACTGAAGAAGGTCATGGGATACAATTCTTTTATCTTGGGCTCGGGTGCGGCTTCGTGGTTGGTACCTGGATGGCATTTGGTGTTCTGATGTTCAAGAGAAGCTGGAGAATCGCTTGCTTTCGACTCTCAGACAGGCTGTGCGACAAAGTGTATGTCCTTGTTGCTGTATGGGCAAGACAAACAGTAACTGATCACCATGCATGAAGCAAAGGCAATGGCCGGTGCTTAAAATAAATTTGGCCAATGCATGCATGCATGAAACAAAGTGTATCTAGAAGTTGTGACATAATATTGCTGGTTTTCTTTTTGGAATGAAATGTAATATCCACACCCTTTGGCATAAGAGTTGTAATATCATTACCTTATGATGACATGGCCAAATTAAATAATAATAATTCGAGCTTGTGCTTATGTTGAGCACAGCTTGCCCTGTTTTGGGGTCGGATTCTGCCTCTAATTGCTTACTCGTGTTGTGGTGCCATGTTTCCATATTGGTCATCCACATCAAGAAAGGCTCACGTCTCCTCCATGACCATTGTTTCCATGCTCGTCGTCAACTGTTAATTGCTAAAGTGAGAAAGAGGTGACTACACATATGTTCAGTGCAGAATTAGCACAATTTACAGACACACGTAATATCCACATCCACATTAAATTTCATGGTTGATTGCTCTGATTTTACATTTGGCCGACATCTCTTCAGGATGGAGGAGATGAAGATGGGTCCCACTTCTCTTCCAGATGGACCGCTCCTGTCTGGGCCCACTCTGACTTTGATCCAGCACTTCAAAATTGGTTCCTATGTGGTGTTGCTTAGGTAGATGGATTGCACTGGTTGTTCTAGAAGAAAGATGGATTGCACTGGAACTCAGAAGTTTCTTCGCTGGCAAAACATTGTTTTAGTTCGGAGATTGTATGATTGAGCATCTCTCCTCTCCTTTACTGCCGGTTGCATACTCAAACTACACTATAAGTAACATTCGCTTACAAATATTGAACAGGTAAGGGGAGCAATTTCTAAGAAACTCAAGAGCGCAATATATGAGCACAGTTTCCATGTTCGAGTACACTGCTACAGCAGGAGTTCGACTGCCTACTTGCCTAGGGGCTGTTCGGCTGGCTGGCCGGTGGCTGGCTGGCTGGGCAGCCCCCCACGAATCACTGTTCACGTGAACAGTGATTTCAGTCAGAATAGTTTTTTTTCTCACGACAATCAGCTGGAATAGTATTTTGACTTATTTTTCAGTCCTGCCGAACAGGCTCCTAGTGACGAACATGCAAGGTTTCTTGTATTCTAGACGAACAAAACAAACTGTCACATCGATCGTCTGTACAATCTACTGCAGAACAGTCTATGGTGGTCTCACTGATGAGACCGACGAGACTGAGTTCTCGGAGGCACAGGACCCCACTCTTTTAATCGTCTTAAGTTGTGACCTATCGATCCTGTGCTTCAAGCGCTTGATCATCTCCTTGGTCCACTCCTCCTCCTCCACGATCTGATGATGTACCTGCTCCAACCAGTCTCTGATCTTTTCGAACTGTGAGAGAAGCGTCGGTGTGTCGCTGCTGTGCTTCCACTTGTTCTCCACATCCAGTGCCTCCTCCACAAAAGCCAGGAACCATCTTTGCATCTGGCCGCACAAGTCCTTGGCAAGCTCAGCCGTCCTCTCCTTCGCCGTGCTCTTTGTCTTTGGTGCATTTGGCAAGCTCAGCTCGTGGACAACATGAGGACCCCCACCGACCCAGTACTTAGTAGCTGATAGCTCCTCGGATACCACAGACTCCGCGACGTCCTTCCACCGAAGCGTATCTTCATAGACACCGAGGAAAGGTTCAACTGTTGGGAGTGGATCGGAGACCATTGCAGAATCACAGATATCAGAGAATTCGCTGTGTAGGCAGCAGAAATGAACAAGACATTAATTATCACACCACTAATTTCTGCTGCACAAATACAATACAATACACTGGGCATTCGTCCTTTAATTTGAATGGAATTGTACATTGCGTTCGACTCGGATCTGGGGGAAAATAGATGTCTCTAAATATATATACCTTTCGTTCCTGAGAAGTGAATCACAGATCGATGCCTTTTCCAGGTGGCTAGCTGCAAGGATTGCTTCTGTGTCTCTTATTTCAGTAGCGTCCTTCTAAATTTGGTAAGGAAATTGTATATTAGATAGAAACTCAAGTCAGGAACTCCGTATGAACGGAGACTGTGAGGCCAACAACAAATTAAACTACAGCTGCCTACCTTTCTGATTTCTGATGAAATCCTTAGTCGTCTCGACGTTGCTTCCTGACAATAGCGACGACGAAGAAGTGTTTAATGAAAAGGTGCAGAATAATGTATCCTGAACAAGGACACCAATACTTTCTGTTTTGATTCTTCAAAAAAAATAAAAACTTTCTATTGTGCACATGCAAAATGGTTATCCAGCAGCCATGCTACCGAGTAAAATGGAGAGAAAATAACCACAACTATGAACCAGAAAATGACTAATAATACACGATTATGTCACGCTATATGTATGTTTGAAGTTTCAAACCAATTGTGTAATAATAAGTTAAAATCGTAGCCAGGATGTTTTATACCGGTATAAAGAAAAAATTCGGCACCTTCCAATTAATGCGGGATTTCGGAACAAATTCAAATTTAAATAAATTCAAGTTTAAACAATTTCGGCGCCATGCTTGGACCGGAGCTTTTCTCCATGTATGTAATTTATATTTGTAGTCATAGGTAGCACCAAAGTTTTAAATCTCGGGCTACAGTGGATTCTATAGCCGGATATAGTGCCGAGGCAGAGCAAATGCTAGGATAATCAACATTTAGCGCTATGAGATTTTTGGCGCTAATAGCGGGCGATAAATTGGCTAAATGGAGAAGACTTAGCGCCGGCTAAGCAGTGAAGTATGCAAATGGGCTGAAATGAACATAGGTTTCCATGCAGAGGAGGTGGGACGGCGAGCGGGCGAGGTGCGGGCGACGGCTGCTGGTCGATCTGCTTTATAAAATGAAGCAGGAGGGTCAGGGTGTCGCTCACTTAGTGAGGCCTGAGAGATGAGAGCGCTGCCGCCGCGCCGCTTGCACTATTTCAGGTGTGGAGGTTGTTACGCGAGCGACCCTTGATTCCCTGCATTCGTGCCAATTAAGGGCAAGGCCAAGGGGATCGGATCCATCCATTTCTATGCAGAGGATCCCGGCTGCCCAATAATTGTTTTGTGAGAGCCGTCACCTTGCTTCCCCTCATGGCTCGTGATCATCATTCCATTGACCTCCACCTGACAGGTCCCGACCCATTCCGTCTTGGGCGCATGGATGCATGAGATGGAAATAAAGCAGTGTTGGCATCTCCTTCCCGAATTGCCCGAACTCTGCTTCCAATAAGTGGGTGTTAATTTCCTTGAGCGCCTCTGGCAGGCGGTCTCTGAAGTCCGTGCGCACCTTCATTTCTGCTGGGGAAAGACCACGAACTTCTTCGAGGGTGTCAACTAATTGGATTAAGAATTTACAATTTGGAATGATATAGGGTGGCGCCCTGAAACGCCTTGACCAAACCTTGGCGGCAGATCGTGTCGACTTGATGATGCACGCGGCAGGCATACCAGCAGCGTCAGCACAGGGAAAAGCATGTGTCCAAGCCGGGAGAACCGAGGGGAGGAAAGAAGAGTCATGCAGCAGGCAGGCCCTTTCAAACCGAAATAGGTTGGCATTGTCAAGACTCAAGAGAATAGGGGTACCAGAGGGGAAAGACATGTTATGGTTGAGGTTTGTGAAGGCACGATCAAGGCGTGCAAGAATGGGGTTTGGTTGTTGATTGGTCCAGGTGAAGCGTTTTCCGACCAATGCAAGCTCACTTCTTCGAGACCAAGGTCGTGTTTTGAATGAAATAGGATATGTCCTGAAGCTTAGATTCCTGAATGCAGATTATCGAAGGAGCAGCAGAGGTAACAGCGTCACGAACGATTGAGCACTTATCCGGGTCGCCTAAGCCTCGAACATTCCAAGATAAAACAGAAAAGTTTCTTGGGTTGCTAAACATTTAACTGAAACAGACTCCCAGGGGCTGCAACACCGAGCAGGCCCCAGACAGGTACGAACTGAAACTTAAACACAACTACCACGAACTGACGACTGACGCCAACTAAAACCATCAAGGACCAACACTACAGATGGTACAAGATGCATGGAACAAAAGCCCGGATACAGACACAAATAACTGGCAGAACAAACACCGTCTTCACTCTTCGTCCTGCCGGAACGAAGCAAAGCCTTCCCGTCATTCAGCAACATCTGTCACCACGCCAATGGAGGCCGGAGAGCGGCAGCCCAGACCTGCTGCCGACACAAGCTTGCGGAGAGCAGACACTCCCACTGGCAGTTTGCTACGCGACAGGCTGTTGTTACGCTTGTTGGCTTGTTTCTTGAAGCTAGCAGAGACGGGCGACGGCGCGGGGTCGGCGACGACGGAGGTCTCTGCCTCGTTGGCGTTGGGACTGCGAGCGGAGGCGGAGAAAGCCATGTGGGCCGTGGGCTGTGGGGGCGGCGATTGCGCGAAGGGGTGGCAGTGGAGGTGGACGGCGAGCGGGCGAGGAGTGGGCGACGGCTGCTGGCCTGCTTTACAATTCAGGTGGTGTTTGTTACGCCCCTTCATTTCCTGCATGCGTACTACTGTATATTAATGTAATGTCAAGATCGAATAATTTAACATGAAGTAGTTATGGAAACTCAAACGGCTCGAGGTGAAAATCTAGACATTTTTCTACAATCTGTATGTACGTACCTAACTCTCCTGCGCGTTTGAAGAAAACAAAAACAAAACTTCAGGATATCTATATCATAATCTACACAAATAAAGAATTTTTTTTAACGTAATGACAGGAGCTCTGCCTTTCAATTAAGATAGGGAAAGATAGTTTATGTACAAGAAAGGACACTCCAGATGAGGGTTTCAAACCTCCCTAAGCAGGTAAAGGAGGGAAACACACGTCCCAATGGGGGAACAACAACTAAACATAAGCGAGTGCTCTCTTCCTTTGCTCGATGTCTTCCTTTATCCTTGCGGCTACTTGCGGCACCGTTTCTATCGTGTTGAAAATTCTCCTATTTCTCTCTTTCCAAATATTCTAAAAGGTGTAGATTACTACCCCGTTAAGTCGTCTACGTGCAGATCTTGGCACTTTCCTTGCCACCTCTTCCCACCATGCCCTGATATGGATAGGGTCTGCCTGGGGTTGCTGTTGCAGTTGAGTGAAGTTTTCCTAAGAGAGGATTTGATCCTAAACCGCCTTAGCAAAAGGGCAACATAGGCATAGGTGGAGGCCGATTTCTAAGGGACCGTTGCACAGCATGCAGTGTTGTTGGTGTGACCACCCTCTCTTTTGTAGGTTTTGCGCCGTAAGAATTTTATCTTGCACTAAAATCCAGGCGAAGATCTTGCATCTGTTCTCCACGTGCGCTTTCCAAATCAATTCCGTACGGAAGGGGACGAGCGAGCCTTTGAATTGAATTTTATAAGCTGAGCGGGTGGAGTAAATCCCATCCTGGGTCCATCGCCACATGATGGTGTCCTGCACGCCCTGTTGTAGGTGCACATCCTGTATTCATATCCAAAGGGACACAAACTCCTCTATGTGAACAGCCGAGGTGACTTTTCTTTCTAACGAGCGTATCCAATTGTTGTTCTGGAGCTCTTGTTGCACCGTTCGGTTTCTCCTTGAAACAAGGCGAAACAAGTTCGGGGCAAGGTACCTAGGAGCTTGTCCATCAAGCCAATTATGGTGCCAAAACATAGTCTTTGCACCATCCCCCAAAGTTATAATGATTGAGGAGTTGAAGAGGTGACGATCATCATCAGTACATGGAAGCTCAGAGCCGCTCCAAGACTTGGAGTCGTCCACCCATTCTTGCCAAAGCCAGCGCAACCAGAGTGCTCTCCCAAATCTATCAAAGTCAGAAACGCCTAAACCACCAAGGTCTTTCGGTCTGGTAACTGTTGGCCAGTTAACCAGGCAGTGTCCACCATTGGCATTCTCCTCCCCCTTCCACAGGAAAGATCTCCTGATTTTGTCGATCTTTTTCTTAGCCCATGCTGCCAAGGGAAACACTGTGAGGTGGTAGGTTGGCATGGAGGAGAGGACATAAGTTACTAGAGTGAGGCGTCCCGCTTTGTTTAGCCATCTTCCTTTCCATCTGGGTAACCTTTGTCTAATACGCTCAATGAGAGGTTGCATATGGACCTTTTGCAGTGATCTGACGTGGAGCTGCAGCCCCAAATATTTGCATGGGAAGTCCCCTCTACTACCGGTGAAGGGTGATAGGACTTGGTCTAGGTCGACGTTTCCACAACTGATTGGATGCACTGAGCTCTTTTGTAGATTAATATGGAGTCCCGAGAATATGCCAAAAGCCTGCAGGATGATTTTGACGGCTTCTACACCGTCTTTTATTGGATTGATGAAAATAGCCGCATCGTCTGCACACATAGAGGTTCTCCATTTTGCCGCCGTGACGGGTAAGGGGGTGAGTATCCCATGTTGGGTTGCTTGGTCAAGCAATCGTTGGAGCACGTCCATAGCTAGGATGAAGAGCATGGGTGAAAGCGGATCTCCCTGCCGGACGCCTCTGGCATGGCTAAAAGTGGCTCCTTACCGCCCATTAAGCAAGGCTATCGAGGTGGATGTACGTAGCAGAATAGAGATCCATTCACGCCAGCGCGGTCCGAAGCCCAGAGCCTGCAAAATCTCAAGCAGATACCCCCAATTTACTGTGTCAAAAGTTTTGTGGATGTCTAGCTTCATGAATAGAGCCGGTATCTTCTGCCTGTGTAGCCTTTGTACTGCTCCCTGGACGTACAGAAAATTATCATGGATGCTTCTCTTTTTTATAAATGCGCTCTGGCAGTTGGAGACGAGGGAGTTTAGTCGAGGGGCAAGTCTGTTAGCTAACACTTTGGAGAAGATCTTTGCAATGCTATGGACAAGGCTGATGGGTCTAAAATCTATAACCCTTGTTGCATCTGTTTTTTTTGGTAGAAGGATGATGCAAGCCGAGTTTAGCCATTCAAAACCCTGGGCATTCAATGTGAATAGGCTGTTCATGGCTGCCATAACATCCTCTTTAATGATTTCCCAACAAGCTTTGAAGAAGGCACCCATGAAGCCATCCGGGCCTGGCGCTTTGTCGGAAGGCATGGAATTTATAGTATTTTTTACCTCATCATGGGAGAAAGGCACCTCCAAATCAGAGTGATCATGTTGATTGTAGCCAAGGGGTTGCCATTTGATTGTCGAAGTTCTTGGAACCACGGAGCCAATGTGATTTTTAAAATAATCTCGTATCACCTTCTCTTTTTCTTCATGAGCAACCGCAATACCCCATCCGTATGCAGACAATGTATGTAATTCTTTCTCTGGCGTGCACTGGCTCTACTGTGGAAAAATTTGGTGTTAGCATCTCCACAATGGATGTATGTGAGCCTCGATCTCTGTCTGATTCTTGATTTTTCAATGGCTGCGAGCCCCGTGCTACGGGCTTTGAGGCGCCGACATAGGTCAAGCTCCATACCAGTGAGCAACCTATGCTCTTGGGCTGCTTCTAACTGTAATAATACTTCCTTCACTATGGCGAGCTGGAGCTTTGTATCCCCTATTTTATCTTTTTTCCAACGCTTGATTCCATTTGCCACACGCGCCATTTTGATATGCAAGCGTTTCATAGGAATAGCAGAGGCGACCGGCCTATTCCAAATGTTTCGAACAAGATCTTGGAAGCCTTCCATCTTAGTCTAGAAATTTTCGAAGCGGAAGGACGTGTTCTGATGGTGGTTAAGCTCTCCCTGTAGTAGTAGCGGGGTATGTTCCGACATGAGCGATGGAAGGGAATACAAGAAGCACGCGGGGAAGATCAGTTCCCACTCGGGGGTACATAGTAGTCTATCAATTCTAGTGAGCGTTGGGTTCTCCTGTTGATTGCTCCAAGTGAAGCAGCGTCCATTTAGCTTGATTTCTTTGAGCCTCAAATGATCAAACGTCGCTCTAAATGCCCCCATGAGGCGTCGGTTTAGATTGGAGTTGTTATTGTCCTTTGCCTGGTAGATGAGATTGAAATCTCCCAGGATGAGCCATGTACTGTGTTCCGGCAGCGGAATGTTCTTCAATTCTTGAAGGATTGAAGTTTGGCTGCCTCTCCTTGCAGGCCGTATACCACTGTAATTGCCACTTTATTCCATCCGCCCTCATGTTGATTTGTGCGGTTATAGCGTTCGAGGTAAGTTCAATGTCGGAGAGGTCGAAGAAGTCTTCATTCACAGCAAGGAGAATGCCTCCTCGAGTCTGTTCCACCGGGAGCACAATATAGGAGTTAACAAATTTTGCTCCTACTGTGCGGCGCACCACATTATGATCCATAACTTGCATCTTCGTTTCTTGTAGACATACAATGGTGGCACCAGTGGTTCTCACTAACTCGCTCACCGAGTCTTGCCGAGCGCCATCATTCAAGCCCCTGACGTTCCAGTTAAGTATTTGGCAATTCAGCTGTGCCATAAAAAAGCAAGGGGCCCCTGTTTAAGCATAATCTATGGAGGGAGGCAAGAAGCAAGCCATCTGGGGCTGTGGTACTGGCAGGAAGAACAAAGATAATCACACAGAGCCACATGGACATGAAAGCAGCAAAATGGAGTCGCCGATTCATTTGAACGCCAGTGGCTGTCGGCGCAGTGATACAATGCAAGAGTTTCTTGCATATAGAGCTGTTGCTACAACGAGCTGCTAGTTGGAGCCTTCCAGTCTGATGGGGAGGTGACTGTAGGCCTCTGGCTGTCGCCCCACCCACGCACCATGACTGGAAGCTTACAAACCGAAGGTGGACTCTAGATGTGAACTGCTGGAGTGGTGATTGTTTACTATCATTAGTACATTGAGTTACCCATCGTAGTCAGCAGCTATCTAAACATGCGGAGTGGAAAGTGTTGCTGCTGCGTCGAGGCCACGCAATGCCGTCAGAGCCTTCACGGCGTCGTTGGTGAGTGGTCCCTTGAATAGGCTGAAGTAGCGCAGCAACCCATCGTCGTGGCTGAGTCCTTCCTCGTCGAGGATGCCAAGCCTTTTCATGAGCACCTGTCTGGCCTTCGCCTGAGTATCACCTCTAGGCCAGTTCATGGCTGCAATGCGCACGCTCCTGCATGCCGGAACCACAGCCTTCTTGCGTCGCTGTGGCGGGCTGGCTTGTCGCGATGGAACCTGCAAGATGGGTTGAGGCAGAGGGTGTGAGATCCCCTCTAGAAATTCTGACACTACCGTTGCAGTGGCAGGCATGTTGTGGACAGCGTCCTGTACCTCCAGTGCTGCGCTGGCCTGCCCCGGACGTTGCTGCTGGAGTCCGTTTGCCATGTGTTGACGGCGCGAGCCGATGGTGGCCGGTCCGCGGACGCAACGTCTGGAGTAGACAAGTCCAGGGCGGAACCGCACCACCTAGGCGCTTCCAGCTGGTTGCGCCTGCATCCGGTGTGGGGGGAGCACTTGGCCGCCTGGAGTAGACCCGTCCCGTGCGGAAGCGGCGTTCTGTAGCAAGGTGTGATCGCTGATGTGTTGTGATGCCAGGGTCGCTGACGGGGGGAACCTGCAATTCAGACGGGCATGAGAAAGGTGCAGTGGCCGTCAGCGGCTTCGATGAAGAGTTGATCAGTGATGCGGCATCAGGTTGGGCGTCCGGCTTTCAGGTTGGAGAGGTTGTGGGCGATGGAGTCATTGGCTGATCATCGAATTGACTTTGGTTAGCACGCACCTTGGGAGGACTTGGCGATGGGTGATGGTTGTCGCCGTTGCCACCACTGAAGTCAGGCGACTTGCAGTGCAGGCGTGGTGACGGGGACTTTGAGCGCGCCGCTGTGGGCCTCGGCTCCGAATGCGCGTGTCTGTGGGGCCTGCAGTGGGATGTCCGCTCCCTGCTCCGACCCCGGGTTCAGCGATGGCCATCCACCGGGCGGCCGGGGCCAGCGGGCTTGGCGAGTTGCTGTCGAGTCCTCCTGTTGTCACCTGCAGTGTTGCTTGGTGCAGAGAGGCGGGCGCCATGGCCAGCAGTGACGTTGTCCAGAAGGCGACGACGACCTCCGTGCTCGGGGCTCCGGTGTCGACGGCCACCATGCCTCGACTCCGAACGCTCCCGCTCCCGTCCCTTGGGCGCACGCGAAAGGCTGCGGGTGAGACGCGAGTACCAGTTGTCGCCCTGACGTTCACGGCGGCCACGACGGTCGTTGTCGTCGTCCTAACGGCTGTCGCGGACATCAGCAGGCGGAGGGTCGTGGTGGTCATGCGGTGTCCTTTCCCCATCAACGACACCGTAGTGCCACGTGTATTCACGGGGAGCAGCAGCACGTCCATCTCTGCCCGGTGGGTCCTCCACCAGGTCAAGGTGCACCAGCACCCTGAAGGTGAGTCCCCGACGGCCGCGAGCAGGTTTTGAACTGTGAAACTCTGCTTTCCTGCACGACAAGGTTAGCCAGGTTACCTTTGGAATGTTGGACGGGTTGTGCGTCCATTCCCAGACACAGAGTGCCCTGGTGTCCTCACGGTCCAGCGAAGACTTCTCGACGTAGTCAAGGTCGCAAGCTCTGGCAACTGCCCTCTTGGCGATGCTCTCGTTCCAGGCGTGAAGTGGGATGCCCTCCAGGCACAGACGAACGCGGTACTTGAGGTCGCAGATGTCGCCGTGCGTGACCAGCTGCCACGGCCTTGTGTGGATGTCGAGATTGCGATAGGGGAAGGTCCCCTGTGCCGCAGCCTCATCAAAGAGCTTAATCTACTGGATCATTCCCAGGACCTCTGTTCAATGTTAAAAACTGCATTGGACCATCCAACATTCACTGGCACGGAAGCTCCACCCAGCTCAGGATCAGCAATCATCGGTGTCCTCTCTTCGTCTGATGAATTCAATAACCATTAATATGGCGACAAATCCAACCGGTGAGGCGGTGAAGGACACCATACGGCCATGGCAGTGTGCAATTCCATTTCATTTAGCTGATACAAAAAATTCTAAAAGAAAACAAAGAAAGTACATTAGCCCAAAAACATCCAAAGGAGAGTTAACTTCTAAACTTTTTACCTAATGATGATCATGAATCAACTACAGATTACAAATATAAACTACTACCATTAAATGCTTCACTAGTCAAAATATGTTCTATAGATCTTTTCTTGAAACGCTAGTATTGAATGCCAATTATGAGGACATAGTAGTAGGGTCCTCACAAATATCAACGTTTAATTTCAGTGCTCAGATTTTACACTTCGCCGACATTTATATATGGCTCAACGTTTTCATCTCACAGTCCAATTAGAATGCAACTGTCAGTCTACCAGATGGCTTGATGATGGAACACTTGAAATTCGGTTGGTTCTTGTGTGGTGTTGCCTTCAGTGGATGTCATTCAGGACCCGGGAGTTTCTTTGCTGTTGGTTTGTTCAAAAATGTAACATCAGTTGCATACTCAAAGTAAACTCAGCAACATTCACGTATGCACATTGAGCAATCAAGCAGAACAAGGAGAAGGGTGAATTTCTCAGAAATTGAAGAACCCAAGAAATGGGCGTGCTGTTTTCCTGGCGCTGTATCACTAGTTTACAGAAAAGACACCTCTGTTTTTTGTGTTGTACTGGTGCTGTATCACTAGTTTACAGAAAAGACATCTCTGTTTTTTGTGTTGTACTGCACACCCATCCAATGGACTGAGTACCAAAGGAAACCATTGCCTAGTGAAAACTGAAAACATGACTTGGAGATACTACTCCATACACATTTGACAAGATGACTTTTGCTTTACCGTTGCATAAAGAGAAAAGGTTATAGGCAGCAGCATGATTGTCTTTACCGTTGCATATGCCTTTTGCTTTGAAAGGGCATAATCATCTCAATCTGAGCATAGTCACAGCTCTCAGTACGACGGCTGACATGGACATATGGTCACAAACTCACAACAAAATGCAAACTGAACCAAGAAATGGTGATATGGTGATAGCCTCGCTCTCTTCATAATCATACCTGACAAACCACACATAAGGCAATCCATAATGATAATACGATAATTTATTCACATAACGAAACAAGTCATAAATTAGGCACCCCAAAAGAAAACAAAGAACTGCACCAACAGGCTACATGATTGTATAACCTTTGAATCTTAACAATTTGAAGAACCAATGTGAACAGAAACTGTGAGCAGCAAGCTTCAGAGCATGAAGCATCCCCTCAACTCCTGGAAGAAACCGAGACAGAGCTCTCGAATGCAGACCCCATGTGGCTAATGACAAACCCATAGATCTTGCGCTTCAAGCACTCGATCTTCTCCTTGGTCCTCTCCTCCTCTGCAATCTTCCCTACTTGGTCCAACCAGTCGCTGATCTTCTTGAACTGTGAGAGGACCATCGTTATGTGGCTGCTGTGCTTTCCCTTGCTATCGACGTTCTGATCTTCGAACAGGTGGAAGCCCACATCCAGTGCCTCGTCCACAAAAGTCAGGAACCACGTATGCATCTCACGCCACAAGGACTTGGCAAGCTCAGCTGTCTCACTCATGCTCTCGGTGTTACTCCATGTGCACCTCAGTGGAGAGCTTGGTGCAACCTTAGACTGCACTTTTGCTGAAGCTCCATGTGTTGGCTTCTTCGACAGGCTTGTTCTTGGTGGTTCCACTGA